CTGATGGAAGGGACCTTAAATCGATTTTCGAGTTGTAATGAGTCAAATTAGCTCGATTTTGCTCGTATCGTCCGTTACGACCGTTTCGGGGCCGTTACGGGTTCGTAATGGTTGTTATGGTTGTGAAATTCATTCTATCCGCTATATTGGGGTGTAACAGGATCGGAGCTCAACGTTATCATTACGTAACAGCCGTTATGCATCGTAACGACCGATTTTCAAAACCTTGCTATAGACCGAGGATTCTCTAAGGTTCTAGGTATCTCCTGATCATAAATTCTATCGAAGGCATTCTTAGGACCTTACTTCCTCAGCGTACTTGAAAGGCTGGAGAGCAGTTGATGCGACGTGGTCTGTGAGACCAATCAAAAGTAAACACTTGGCGCATTCTGTCAATAATGGTAGAAGTAATGATTCGCGTGATATGATATGCTTGACCTCGTAGATTTGTTAGGGGAGATGAGCGCTAAGATCCCCTCGGTGCCTACAAAGGGCTTTTGGGAATTTTTATGCCGAGCGATGTTATCCTCGACATTGTACAACAAATACACTAGGGTCTCTTCGGTGTTACCATGAACGTCGATGACAAATCTTCTCGGTGTATACAGAAGATTGTTGAGACCGAGAGAGTAGAAATATTGATGGAGAATAGGCTGATAGGGGTGAGGAACAATTAACTTTACACGCCAACCACGTCTGGCGGCATGTTGCAAGATAGCTAGCTTTGCACCAGGAATGCCCACTTGGGAATAAACGAAGGAATATCTGTCAAATGGCGTGGGCCTGCTGTCCCATGTTGTTAGATCTAGCAGAATCATTGTGACCAATCATAGAAGAGGTTTTTAAGGATGTAATTAGTGCTCTTCATGAGCATGCGACAAGCGAGTCATAGGCGTTTAATGCTCAGGGGCCAAGGATAGGGAGGGCAATGATCCCTCGACAGTCAACACACTAGGATGTCGGACATTTATTCCCGCAGAGTGTGTTGCTTGACGTCAAATTTCGCAGTGAATGCTCGGCACGGGTGTTTAATGATCGGCAAGTATTTGGATGTCGAGGAGTTAATGTCACTAATGCATGTCGAATTAACATGCCTGTAAGGGATCGAGTATCAGGGTCAAAGGGGCGCCTTGCTCGATGCCCAGCTGCCTGATGATGTCAAAGAGATATTCATTATGAGCCAATCAGGAGCCCTCCCGCCAAAGAGGATCATACGGATGATCTCGACTTGCGCACTCGTCCACTAGGAAGTATAAATAGCACTCCTAAGCAAAAACAGACGATACGTTCTCACAACCCTACATTGAACATTGTCTTCTTCTCTCGTCAAAGACTGACTTAAACATCAGAGGGGAATTGTTGGAGGCACGTCCGGCCTCCCTTCTAACCCTTCTTCGTGATACTTAGGTTTTCGTCGTCCCCAAATTCGATAGCAACCTTGGAGTGTGAGATAAAGTGCCTTTATCTCAATGTTGTGTAAGAAATCACCCATACAAGTGCATTTGTATTTTAGTTTCTGTTAGTAATAATCTCATGGATGAAGACACTCTACAATCTCAAATATTGAACATTAATTGTGCAATATTTATATTTTAAATAATAATTTATTTTTTCTTTTCTTTTTTTTTTGTTACACAATTTAAAATTGAAATGAATAGAGATAAAATAAGAGAAAAGTAAGTGAATTAGTGGGATTGCTTGGAATTGAATAGTGTGTTAGTATAGTTGTTTGATATTAGGATATGTGCAGAGAAGATGTTTTTGAATGGAAAAAAATATTTTGTGATGAATTTTGTACCATTGAATCAAATTAGATGAAAATTAGATCAATTTTAACCGTTGTTGTGTTTTTATAAGTTGAGGATCAAACTTCCTGCAATACCAAAATTTGAACATTGATTGTGCAATATTTATATTTAAACTAGTAATTTATTTTTTCTTTTATTTTCTTTAATTATGCAATTTAAAATTGAAGTGAACGGAGGAAAAATAAAAAATTGCAGGGGATAGAGAAAAGAGATCTAGGTGTGAATTAGTGCGATTGTTTGTTATTGAAGAATGTGTTAGTTGAGTTATGGACCATGCAGAGAAGATAATGTTTTTTATCAGGAATTTTTTTTTCCAGATTAATGTTATACGATTGGGTCAAAATTAATAAAAATTAGATTAATTTTGATTGTTGTTGTGCATTTATAAGTTGATAATTCAACTTTATAGATGTAATATTAAATAGGCATTCGTCTGAACACTCTAAATGCTTGCTGGGAAAATGAAGGAAAACAGTAGAAACTAAAACTTGATTTCTAGATGGTTTGAGACCCAATAAAACAGGAAATTGAGCTAATTTTAATCTAGTATAATTCTGGTGGAGACTTAGATATTTTATTTTGGTGTCTTGTTTTTGCGTCCTTAATTTTTAAGGGTGCAACATGTAGAGGTCTCATAACATTTCCTTTCTATTGTAATAGTGAGTTCTAGCTTGGATATATGTGGCTCAAGTTCTTTTGTCTGATAATTCATTTTGATTACTGACTCATGTTTAAACTTTGACAGTGATTATAGTGTCGCAAGTGCTGCTTCTCTCTCCAAAACTGGTATTTTCCAAGAATCTCTCGTTCCTGTTGCTTCGGGGGTTTCTTCTAACGCTTTTGACTCAGAGAGCATCCTCTTTGATCCGTCATCTGTGACTCAGATGATGAGAACAATTCGTGTCTCTGGGTATCAATTATCACACCAACCAGATCTGAAGCAACAGCAACAAGAAGTGCGATACATTCACACAGGTGCGAGTTACATACCCCAATACCCGGCTGGCCCATTGCCAGTCTCATCTTACTATCCACTGTATCATCCACCACTGCATCAGCAGCATTGCCCTTATCAGGCGAATCAGTTGTATCCAATTTACTTGGTCCCAATAAGGCCTTCACAAACTTACAATATGCCCACACAAGGTAATTTAATCTACACTGCAACTATTGCTTCTGGTCGGTCCCCTTTGCATCCCCCTAGTGCCATGATCACTTCCCCAGTAGTTGATAAAGAGGTCACTGCAGCTCCACCAATACCTGAACCAGCAGTTTCCAGGACAGCCCCAGCAGCAACACCACTTGTTAACGTACCTTCAATCCAGAATCAACAATTAGTGAATCCTCCAGAGTCTTACGATTCCTCCCTGCTTGTTGCCACTGCTTCGGTGGCGGTGGCTAATTACGACGATGAATTTGATGATGATCTTACATATGCTCAGATATATAAAAGTCAACCTCCAGCACCTGCATTGCTGCCACAGTATCAAACCATGACAAAGACAGCAGTACTTTTATCTGAGGCTTTGACAAAGCTTCACACAGACAACCTTAAGCAATAGGTCGGAACCTAACAGCCGCAATGAGGAACTTGGCTCGGATGAAAGAAGTTTGGTAGGGAGTTTCTGTTTATTTCACTATATATGTATTTTCATCTATTGGGTTTGGTTTTTGGGGTTTTCACTTTTTGCGATGAAATAAAAGGAATCTTATATATATATTTTTTTGTCCTTTTCCTTATAAGCTTTTCCTCACATTATGGTTTCATGTAATCGGCAAAACTGAAATGTTTCATAATGTATTTGTGATTGTTTGGTGTATATCTTGCACTTCTGCCCATGAGTCAGGTATTCATCCAATATGAGAACTTTTATCCCCCTGTACCAAGTGCTTGTAAGTTGGTCAACGGAGTTGGAAGGTGCACAGACTGACGACTAATGAGATGCAGTTTCCAATATAGGGAATTGGCCAGTCGAATTGCTATGATTTTTCAGGATTTTTCCAAATTTCCCCCAAATTCATAACTCCTCTGTTGCACATTTAACATGCACTGGTGAGCGAATCACGGGGAGTTTTAGATTCCCCCCCCCCCCCTCCCCCGGGTCTTTTCTCCCACCACTTCACACACAGACACAGGGAGGGGGGAGGTCGGGAGATGGTAATACTTGAAAGAGAAGTAAAATATAAGTTTTTATTCTTTATATCAATGTATTCCTCACACACTGCATTTATTGTTAATCACAGAAACAAACTCAAACTTAGAAGGCAAGTGCTTGATTATCGAAGTTGAGAGTAAAAACTGCAAATTTCCTAGACTAAATTATTTCACAGGACTTCCTTATCAACACATCAAAACTCCAACACTCTTTGAATGGCTTACACATTCCTCTCACTCCTCTTGTTACTGAAGAACTTGGTTATACTTGGCATTACCCTTCTTCTCCTTCTCATTGTGACAGAAGTTGATCGAGGCAAATGCCGAGCTGCAGGAGAAGCAGACTTCTGAAACTTTGCTTGTCTTGCTGGGGTTGCAGTTCCATTTCTATTTGTGGATTTTCTAGGCAGTGTTACCTTACGCTGCAAATTTTCAGGCTCCAAGTTTTTCTCATGCTTTTGCCACCGACTGTGTCTCTCATTTTCAACCAGTCTCTTTGCAGTTGGTGACTTCTCTGTTCTATAGAGCTCTTTCTCTTCCTCCACCCTTAACTCTCTGATCTCTCTTTGAGCTATTTCGGCTTTCATCTGTAGCTCCTTCTCACTCGCCTTTAAAGCTTCTATCCAAGCCTGAGCAGCTGCAACCTTTTTATCTGCAATTTCTTCAGCTCCAACTGCACGTCCTCTTAAGTACTCGTATTCAAAATTTGAGATAGTTATTTTGGAGGTATGTTCAGAAGCCGGAGCTCTAGCTCTCATTGTAATCTCTGTTTGTACTTTTAGATTCTCAAGAGCTATTGCTTCTGATGATTTGATTGCCTCAAGCTCTTGCATTGCAGCTTGTAACCTTTCCTCAGCTAAGTCTATTTCAGACTCAATTTTTTCAACTTCTGCCTTGACATTTGAGGTTTCTTCGCTTGTAAGTACCTTCTCTTTCTTGGCTGCCTCAGCTTCTGCATTTAATTGTTCAAGAGTGAGGGATAAATTTGTCACGATTGATTTGGCGTTTTCTTCAGCCGCAGATGCAGCTTCCAATTTGGTTTTTGCCCTGAGGAGCTTGGAATTGAGATCTTGAATGGTTAGATCAGCTTTCTCTTCGGTTTTCCTTAGTTGAGCTGTTTCTTCTGAGACATGCTTGAGTTCGTGTCTAACGATATCCATGGAGGCCATGAATTGAAAACCTTCTTCTCTAATGGAAGCTAACTCTTTCTTCGCAGCTTCCAATTCTTCTGTAACTGACTGTAACAAAGATGAACTCTCCCATTCCCCTCCTTTTTGATGACCATCCTCCTGATTCTTCAATTTCTCATGTTTTTGAATCCTTTTGTCCATTTCTTTAATTTGCCTTAGTTCACTCTGTAGCACATTGACATCAGAATTTGTAACAGCCAGCTTTAATTCAAGCTCCTTCGAGCGATCAATCTCTTGGATGATGTCATTCATGTTCTTCCTTGTTTCCTCCATGGCAGATGAGTATTGCTTAGCTTCTTCTTTTCTCTGATCTTCAATGACCCCAAATTCTTTAAGAGCTTCTATTCGAGCCAACTCGACCAACACTTGCTCCTCATTAAGTTCCTCAATTTCTTTCGTAAGTGCTTCAACTGAGATTGAGTAAGACCGCAATTTTGAACTTGAGGCTTCAGTTTCCTTCTCTGCTTGCCTTTTCTCTTCTAAAATAGAAGCCATGTCAAGTTTAAGCTTGCTCAGTTCCTGTTTTACATATTTCAGTTCCCTCATCACTTCTGCATACCGATAGTCCTTAGTGTTCCCAATAGACAATTCCCCTTCTTCTGCGCTGCTTTTATGCTTCTGCAGTTTTTCCCCGTCAGGAAGCTGCAATTTTGCTCTTGAATTTGATTCTTCAATTCTTAAACTTAGATCTCTCACGGTCTCCCTTGCATCAAGTAGTTCGGATTCTGCTCTGGCTTTTACTGATTCTGCAATTTTTTGATTCTCATTGAGTCGCCCGATGGCTCTCCGTGCAAGACGAAACTCTCTCGTTCTTGCAGAGGGCTTCAGCAATATGAGACATATCATCAGACAAACAACACAATTTTGTTTTAAAAGAAATAAATAAGAAAAATCATCCAAGACATGCATATGAGTTCTAACTTTAACCATTAATGGTACAAGGGATTTGCATTGTTCTTTCAAGTTTACCTCTGGAAAATTCATTTGGGACTTTTCCAGTGCAGAATTCCCTTCAGAAAATTTTCCTCTGTACAAATTAATGGCTTCTTTAACTGATCCAACTCTCCTCCTGCTATTCATATCTCCTCCATCCATTTCAAGCTGTTTCACACTCACATAATTAGAAGAATTCACTTTCACACTCAAATAGTAAACAATTACAGTAGATTAAATTGTGGGTGTGTTCAAACTCTTAATATAACCAGAAGACAGAAATTTGAGGTTCTTTCAAGGAAAAAAAAATGAGGTTTTCTTTCTATGTTAGAAAATCAAACTTCCCTCTGTTATCAAATGAAACCAGTTTCAGAGTGAATAGAATGTGTACTAGTAAGAACAGAAACAAGAAAGTTGCTGCAGCTTCCAGTTATGTACCAGAACATATACCCAAAGAAAAATACCTGGGAATATTGGTGGAAATGTGGTATCTTGGTTCCTCACTAAGGTATAGTTGGTTGGAGTCTCTATAAAGTTCAATAAGCAACATATGAAGTTCTGGTGGTTGGAGAGATAAAACAGATGGAGAGAAAACTTCTGATGGTTGGCTGTCATTGGAGACATCGCCAGCCATCTGATTTTTATACCCTTTTGGGCCCTAAGCAAAATGATCTCAATATCCCCATCACTATCCTAAACCTTTGCTTCTGATTATACAGTGATGGAGTTCCTTTTTTTTTTTTTTTTCAGCTTGTCCATTTTTTTTTTCCTTTTGTGCAACGAGAACCGTTCATATTTTTTATTCACGGTTATAACATTAGTCTCGGATGCAAATAATTACCCATAAATCATTTGTTTCGGTCACAATATGATTTTTTGTAGTTAATGGGACTCGACACATCGCGCTCAGGTTGACCTCTAAACTAACCATGGTCCGGTTCGACACTTCCCTAATGTGATGCGCTTAGAACAAAATGAAAAGGGTAGGGTGGCAAAGAAATCTGAAAAAAAAACAAAAACCAACCTCAGGACAGAGTTGGAAGAGTTGAGATGCCACATGAAAGTTAATAATGAACATTGGCAGGACAAAAGCTTGATGAAGACGTATTTGGCATAGGCATAGAAAACAGCTGCAATTTTCATAGCGGAGAACAAATCGAAGGTGCATGTTTTTCCACGACTTAGATCCTAAGCCATCCATACAGAAGCTGTACATTTTTGGAATGTCCAGAAGTGACTGTCAGACCAAGATGATTAACACCACATAGTACAAATCGGATGCATGGGATTCGTAGTATAAAATTAATCTCGGTTGTTATTCGAATAGAAAATGACCAAAATAATTTAGACTTAATTGGATGGGAAATGATGCAAGGGTACTTTCGTCCTTTTCAACTTGTTATCATTACTTAATCTCAAGTTCAAACATAGTATTGGTATTATCAAATTGAACCCCCATCTTATCCCCCACATTGAACCAAATTTCAGAAAAATGAAATATAATAAAAAAAAAAAATTTCATTACTACCGTTTGTATAGTGAATTAGAGCCAATACCCTAATTCCATCATATATTCATAACTAAGCACCCCTAAGGGCATGCTAGTTTTAAAATTTTGGTTGGATGGGCTTGGAATGTCCTTTCCAATCCATTCCATCACGGTTGCTAGCCATGATTTTTTACAATGACATACTTTCATCCAATACCATATTTGTTATCATTGTTTTATCACATAAGGACTCTACATGAACACCACAAACAACAATGTATATTTGTGTCACGTGGTAACTTCCTATTTGTAACCTTTTTCATGAAAGAGGCCACCTGTGAAGGTGTTGCCTCAACAACCAGTCACTCTAACTCGTAAAAGGGCACACAAACACAGACAAGCAACACATGATGTACATGAAAAACACTCCTTAACCTTATATTATTGCTTAAACAATACAAGAAATATACAAATCCGACCAAGGACTCTCTGCCTATAGATTGCCCCGGTATTACCTATTTATACAAGTAAGGGTGTCCATGGGTCGGGTTACCCACGGGTCCTGTTACCCTGCCTAAAAAAAATAGGCCTAAAGTCCGGTAGTTGGCCCGTCCGAACTCGAGCCTAATATCCTTTCAGAAAGAGCTTGTGTTTACTCCTGAACCCACTACCCGGTCCGAAGCCTTGCCGAAATCGAAGCCCAACCCCGCCCACATTCCCGACCCAATAACCAATCCCATACCCGTCCACATACCCGAAGCCTGAAGTCCGCTCGAAGCCCATACTTGCCCATGGAGACTTGAATAGTACTAGTAGGTGAGACTTGATTGGTAGTGGTTGGTGAGACTTGAATTGAATGGTAGGTGGGCCAGACTTGATTTTGACAATGGTAGGTAAAGTTAAGTTCAAATTTTTTCAAAAGGATTGAATGTGAATTTGAGACTTGGACAGTAGTTATGTATTCTCTTTAAATTGTAGCTATGTAGTTATGGAGACTCAGTGGACTGTCTCAGACTCAGACTCACTTCATAGCCTGTGAGACCGATATCAATCAATATTCTGATAATCTTTTTAGTCTGTCAGCGGCTGAGACAGGATAGTCATAAATTTACTAATTTATTTGAGCCAACGATCGACTACTTTTTAATGTATAATTTACAAATAAACGGTTAATTTCATTGCAACCCACTCAGTCATTTGTTCACATTTCATTGCAAAAAAAAAAAAAAACTCTCATTCTCTGAATTCACAAGTGTTTTGAAATCTGAAGTCTCAAGTGTTCTGAAGTCTTGAAGTCTCAACTCTCATTTGGTGAGAAAGTTTTTTTTACATAATTTAAGTATTTATTTTATTTTTATAATTTAATTTACGTAATGATTTTATCTCATTCACAAAATATTTTTTATAACGAAATTTTTGAGTTGAATAATGATAATGAAAACATCGATGAGGGTGAAGGGAATGATCCACTTTCAATGCCTGAGATAGATTCTACTAACAATGTACTATCTAATAAAAGACAAAAGTCTAAGGCTTGGGATCACTTTGAGAAAATCAAAATTAAGAGTTCTAATGGGGTCATAATATCAAAAAAGACTATATGTAATTATTGTAAAAAAGATTTTGTTGGCGGTTCTAAAAATAGAATTAGTCACTTAACTAGACACATAAAGACATGCTTATTAAGAGGTCAAATTGATATTAGACAAACAATGTTATCACAATCTGCTAGCACCGGTACACTAAGCATTTTTAGTTATTGATGATGCCAAACTGATGTGAGTGAATAGAGTGCATGAGACCAATGGTGAAGTTAGGCTGCCAACTTCGTAATGGTAGTGATGAAGTGTTTTTTAGGGGATAGGAAAATTTGCACAGTTAGAATATAGTGGTTCACCGGCTCTAGAGCTCGGCTAATCCATTCTCAAATGGAGGCTCTTGCTCCTTACCATCTCTATTGATTATTTGAATGTAATACAAGATAGTGCACAATCCGATTGTGGTTCTTCTTTCTTTTTTCCTCCCTCTCGATAAGGCGTTACATAGTATTTATAAGACTACCCCCTATTCCGTGGGATTTCAGCCGAGATCTTTGCCCATTATTCATGGGATCCTCCTTGATTTTAGGAGAGAATCTTAGTTGGTTGAGAGTTTCATGTATGAGGCCCAATTTTCGCAGTCATCCAGCTATTTCTTGGTTGGTTCAGCTACGATCTCTCCAAGGGGAGCTCCACCCCTGGTTATCTGAGTTCCTCGTGTTTTCCTGACCTCCTGATCCGAGTTTACAGCTAGGGCTTATATGAGGTATCATCAGTTATGAACCTGAATCTACTATAAAAGCAATTATTAGATGGATTGTTGTAAGAAATCTTCTACTTATTCTTGTAGACAATGTTGAATTTGAAAGAATTTTACAAAGTGATTTTAATCCTTCCTTCCGAAAGTTTTCTCATCAAACATGTCAAAGAGATATTATTAAATATTATGTACAAAAAAAAATAATTTAATTGCTTATTTTGATAATCTTAAAAGTAAAATTTGTTTGACTTCTGATATTTGGACTTCTTGCCACAATTAGGATATTTACGTATAATTGCTCATTTTATTGATGATAATTGGTTATGCTCAAAAAGAATTATTACTTTTACAAGAATTGAAGATAATCATAGTTTACAAGTTATTTTTGAAGTTATTTATAATCAGTTACAAATTTATTGTATTCAAGACAAAATGTTTACTATTACTTTAGATAAAGCAACAAATAATAGTGGGACTGTAAGTCATTTAAAATGTTATTTAACTTTACCATGTGAAATAGTTTTTTTCATATAAAATGTATGTGTCATATCATAAATCTCATAGTACAAAGTGGTCTCCATGATATTAGATGTATAATTGATAAAATTAGACATATTATTTATCATATAATAGGTTCTGAAAATAGATTTAAGACATTTATAACTATGTGTAAAAAGAATAATTTAAAATGCAAAAAAATACCATATGATGTACAACATAGGTGGAACTCCACTTATAAAATGCTAGATGTGGCAGTTAAATATAAACTTGCCTTAAATGACTATGTTAGTATATATACCACCTGTTCATTATCGCGTCCCATCGAAGAGGAATGAGATGTCACTGATAAAAAAAAGAATTTTTGGAAATTTTTTATGAATCAACTATGGCTTTATCTGATAATTATTATCCAACTATTACACTTGCCTATGTTCATATAGTTAATATCAGTGATCTTTTTGAACTATATAGTAATGAACTCGAATTTTCTACTATTTTACATAATATGCAATCTAAATTTAATAAATATTTTTCACTACTTCCTATACTTATTGGTTTTGGTATGTTAATTGACCTTTGATTTAAAAAATTTGGCCTTACAAGTGTTTTTATATCTTTATATGGTAACTTAAATGATGAGCACATGAACCACATGAATAAAATAAAATATTATTTTAAATATTTTTTCAATGAATATAGTGTAACATTTGGGAATGGTGGTAGACTTAATCTCCCCTCAACTTCTAGTGATATTGTTGATAGTAGTAAGGTAAAGGTAAAACATCTATGCTAGCTTCAATTTTGAACAGAGGAGATATGTTAACATCTAAGGGGTTAATTGAACTTCAGCAATATTACAATGCTCCAATGGTAAGTGTTGAAGATATTGATTTTGATATTTTGGCCTGGTGGAAAGGATATGAAAGTAGGTTTCCAATTCTTTCCACCCTGGCTCATGATATACTAACAGCTCCTATGTCGACTGTAGCGTCTGAATCTGCTTTTAGTACAGGTGGACGTGTCATTGATGAGCATATGAGTTACTTGGATGGAAAGACAGTAGAAGCCCTTATGTGTCTTCAAGATTGGTATGCAGTTAAAGCGAGAGATCAAAATATGGATACAAATCCCCTAATGCCAGAATTTGAAGTTTTAGAAATTTAGATATTAAGACTGATGTATTTTTTTCATATATTAAATATTCTAGCTTTTCATGTACAAAAGCTTTTAATGGGTAGAATTGTACAAATGATAGATAGATGAGTAGGTGCCAACTTAGTTGAGATGTACTCATTCTATTGTGATGCAATTTCTCTTCTATTCATAAATAAAATTATTCATTATTTAATTTTTTTCCATTTTGATTTTGACTATGCTTTTAATTTAAAAATATAATTTACAAAAAAATTAAATAAAGTTGTATATTTTTTTAATAAGGCCAAGAAGCCCGCCCAAAATAGGCCTGCCCAATAGGCCTATCAAAGCCCGCCCAACAGGTCCAACAAAAGCCCGCCCGCAAAGCCCACCCAATAGGTGACGGGCTGGGCTGCCCTATCTGAAGCCCGGCCTGTCACTTGCTTGAGTACGTGCTTGGGCCTACACTACCCATGCTTAACCCAAAAAAAATTTCGTGGGCCAAGCCAGGCCTATAGACAACCCTATATACAAGGAATATGATAGTTGACACAAATAATTGCCTAGGATTTATTAGTCCATAACTAGTCAATTGCATGGCCATGACAGTTTCCACCAGTAATTCCCATGCCAGATTGCATCTTTACTTGACAGGTGGTTGGTGGTTTCTCCAATTTGGCACCTAACTTGGTAATCGCCCACAACTGCTCACCCATGATTAGGTCATGCCCGCTTGCAACTGCATCCCCTGATCAGGCCATACAGAGCAACCACCCTCAACCATTTGGTTCCATGCATTGAGCATACTTGCCACATCTATGTGCTTGAAAATCCGTAGCCAAGCGTTGCCCACGAACCAATGAAGCATGTTGAGCTAAGCCCAAGCCATGCCTTGCAAAGCTATACACCAACATTGCCTCAATTTTGCCCACTACATGTTACCATCCTCAGTCGTGTGACTTTTCATATCTACAAGTCTCACAAATTTCGATACCACCATCATCTTGTGTTTCCCTTGTCCGTCTTGCCTCACTTGTGGCAAGGTCCTTGCTGCATGCCATACCTAGTGATGCCAATGCTTGGGGGCACAAGGCTTGCCATGCCCTCGGTGTGCCTTAACTATCTCCCCCTATATATGCTCTTAGATGATTTTCCAAAGTGACATGAATGGACATTAGCTAAACCAAAGAAACATAATGACTAGAGCTTAGGGCATAGTGCTTGGAATTTTTGTTGAACATCTTAGCTACTTCACCTGGCTTCAAAGTTATGGATTGCCTTGGTGCAAGGTTCCACCAAACCACATCTATTTCTGGCCTAATTCAATTAGGGTCTAACAAGCTACCTCCACCTAAAATATTCAACGACCTTGTTGGAAGGGTAGCATGATATTGCTTAATCAAATTGTCAAACTGCCACAATGTAGTCTCTTTCTCTCGAGTAGCTTCCTTTGGTGCCTTCCCACTTCATTAGGTAATGAGTTATTTTATTTTTCTTACCCATACCCTTCATGTTATGGTCAAGGATAGCTTCACCCACGTCAGTGTATTGCTTCTTGATTGTTGGATAAGCTGGATACCGTAAATGTCTACTAGGTTCATCCTTGTCCTCAATGTACTGTTTTAGGAATGGAACATGGAAAATCGGGTGCAACTTGAGCTGACTAGGAAGGTTTAGCCTATAAGCCACCCTGCAATTTTTTTGGTAATGACAAAGGACTATCATAATGTTGGATCAATCCCTTATGGTAGTGATCTTTTTCCATATATAAGGGGTCGGTTTCAACATCACTTTATCACCAACATCAAACTCTATTGACCTCTATTTCTCATCTGGCCACTTCTTCATCCTCTTCATTATCTTTACTGCCTCTTTGGTCCTTTCTTGATGAGCCCAAGTGAAGCGACATATTGCAGGACATCTCTCTTGAGATTTTTGTTTGACTACCTCATATGGAGTGAGAGGCTAGCAAATCAACATCTAGTAAATCAACCTAGTTTTGTTGGTTTATTGTAACATAATTTCTTAGATATTCCTCCGGCATAACATTTTCCTACTCAGTTTGTCCATTTGTTTGTGAATGACTGATTGTGGAGAAGTTGAGTTATGAACCCATCGGCTCGAACAAGGCCGTGCAAAACTGACCAATGATTCTAGTATCTTTTTCATTGACAATATCAAGGGGGAGACCATAAATCTTCACGATATGTTTAAGGAACATCGAGGCTGTAACTTTCGTAGAATATATTTTTTGAGTCAAGATGAACATTGCATACTTCGAGAATCTGTCAACCACAACAAAAATAAAACTAAGATCATTCACCTTTGGCAGCTCGTTGATGAAATCTATGGAACCACTATCCTAAGGCCAGCTTAGAATGGGGATAGGCTATAAGGTACCCACCATCTTTCTCCTTTTCGACTTGTCCTACTGGCACACCAAGAAAGTGCACATATAAAGTTCCATATCAACTTCCATGCGCGGTCAATAATAACTTTTCACCAATAGAGCAAGTTTTTGCTCTTGCCCAGAATACCTTGCCCCTAGAGCATCATGTATTTCTTTTGGCAACAGTTGTCGAAATCCACTAGTTTTCGGTACATATGGTCTTCTTCCTTTGGCATAGAAGACGTCTTCCTCTACCCAAAATCTTCTGGTCACACCCTTCTAGACCTACTTCACCTACTTCAGTAGCAAACTAGTCATAAGATTATCCTTTGTTTGGTATAGAATTCTTTGTAGCATGTCCCCACCAACTTGGCATAGTGAGGCCATCATTCTATTCATGATCAGGATCCAACTGAGTGCATCAATAACTTGATTTGCACTGCCAGACTTGTACTACAAAATGAAGTTGAACTAGACAAAAAAATTCTGCCATCTTGCTACTTTGGTTTCAACTTCTTCATGGAATTTAAGCAGCTTGTAGCCACATTGTTGACCAGGACCAAGAAATACTTCCCCAACAAGTAATACCTCCATGTATTGACATAATGAAGAGTACTTTCATTTCCTTTTTATGCACCAAGTACTATCTCCCTATATCATTGACCTTCATACTTTTGAATGTCACTAAATGACTGTTCTACACCAACACCCCTCAAATTACAAAGTCTAATGCATTAGTATGAACTTCAAATGGAAAATTAATGTCAAGAAGTCGTTAAACTGGGCTAGTTGTCACCACTACCTTCAAACGATTGAATGCCTCCTGACATTGATAGGACCAGTTCCAAATCCCATCTATCCTCAAGAGATCATTAACACAACTTTATTTGAGTAATTTTTCACAAACTTTCTATAATAATTTTCCAAGCTAAGGATTAAACATAGTTTAGTCACTTTTGTAGGGACATACCAACTCCCAATGGCTATTTTCTTAGGGTCCATTTTCACTACACCCGCATAAATTATGTGCCCAAGGAATGTGATTTCCTTTTGGGCAAACTCACTTTTTTGGTTTCAAATATAATTCTACTTCCCTCTACTTAGTTAAGGCCAATAGAGGGTGCTCAATATGTCCTCTAAGATTTGGCTATAAACAACAATATCATCCAAGCATATCACCATAAAATAATCCAACTACTCCTAAAACACATGGTCATCAAATTATAGAATGCAACAGGAGCATTTGTTAAGCCAAAAGGCATAACAAGGAATTTGTATGAGTTGTACCCCGTCACACAACCTGTCTTTGCCTGGCCCCTTTAGCAATTTTGACCTGGTGATATCCAAGACGTAGATCCATGTTGGCGAAGTAAATTGTATTTCCTAATCGATCGAACAGCTCATCAATGAGTGGGACTAGATAGTTGTTTTTGACCATTGTGGGGCGAAATTATCACTTCACATGAAGGATCTATTCACTCGATTATACACGAGGAATCAAATCTAGATATAGAGGGAGGGGTGAATAGATTAATTTTAATTTGGCTTAGCGAAACACAAATTTTTAACTTATGTCTACCACAATTAGCAAATTCAAAGTTAATTTATCAATTATTCCTTTGAACCCCTTTTAACATGAACAACTCAAAATTGTCATGTGAATTGATGTATTAATTAATCAATTGAAAGATTAACACTCAATTTTACAAAGACCCAAAGCCTTAATAACCAAAACAACTATTTATTGACTTTAAAGATAAACAAATAATTCATCAAACATATTGTGCGTGTGTGTGTTACAAAGTCCAAGTGTATAAGCAAATAAAGCAATAAAAAGACACAATCAATTGTCAACGCGAAAACCCTTCTCGGAAAAAACTACGGAGAATTAATATAGGGTTCACCAAAGCCAAACAAGTACTCGAGACTTATACCTTAACCACTTCCATTGGCAAGATGCTCCTTTCCTTCCATTGATCTCTCTGCCGAAACTTCATCTTCGAAGTTATGGATAGCTTCACATAAATGCCTCCACCACAATGGATCTTTTAGACCTCAAACAATCTTCAAGACTTCACACGCAAGACTCTCGGAATGCACACTTCTCCAAGTGAGTTTTAGTTGGCACCAAGCTAAACTTTCTTCTTCAATGTGTGAGGTTTAATAGAAAAATCAAGATGGTTGCCTTTTTGGACTTAGGGACCTAGGGTTGTTCTTAAAGCACTCTAGAAAGGTTTTGGGTCATTTCTAACTTTTATGCACGAAATTGGGTTTGTCTTGGGGACCAAGTAAATCAAAATTTATGTGTGCCTGCTCGATCGCTGAGAGGGAAGTTAGAGGGCGGTGGTTTTTAGAGTGAAAATGAGTAATTCTAGACCTCTAGGTGGTAGACCACTTGAGCGAGCCATCTCCCAGACCGCCCGAGCATTGAGAGCAACCAAAGAGCCATCTCCATTGGTTCTCTAGTTTAGTCTCACAAAGTGTTTAGAGACCACTCTAGCCAAAGGCAAGTGAGCTGAGGGCGGCCCTTATTTGTTTTTAATTTAGAAACAAAGGAAAAACTAGACCTATGGAGCATTAAAGGGTGTGGCTTGAATAGAATATGATACATGACTCGTTCTATGTTTTCAAACCACATTTAAGGTTTAGAAAAATTTTCTTTAAAAAATCTAAGAGTCATTCACAGATTTTCCCAATTCCATTCTTAGGTTTCTAAGGTCATTACCTGTGGTTCAAATAGGATCTGATACATGACTCATTCGATATGACTTTGTAGCTTTGTCTCATCCCTTCATAGTGTTTATAGATCTTGATGTTTGAAGATTGATGATCATGGAATTAGTTTGAGATTACATAAGATTTCGTGAAATAATCAATTACAAATATGATCCTAAAAACCATTACCTTTTTAAGGGCCTGATATTCGACACAAAGTCTCAAGGAGCCTTCCTTCTTCCTTTGAAACAAGATAGGGACTCCATATGGAGCATTTGAAGATCTAATGAATCTTACCTTCAATAGATCACCAAGCTATCTTGTTAACTCCAACAACTTTGATGGAGACACATGATAAGATGGCTTGGGGGGGGGGGGGGGAGTTTGCCCCTGGAATCAACTCAATGGTATGGTCAATCTCCCGTCTTTGGTGACAATTTGTTGGGTGCCACATTCTTGAATTATGCAAACAACAACTACATTGGTTCATGGACTTGAAAGGCTTTGGGCTCCTCATCCATAATCAACACAACCAAGTATGATGTCTCTCCCTTTCACATGCCATTTTGAACTTGCAAAGTAGACAACATTTCCCCTAGATACTTGGCTTTGATGAGGGGTGCAAAGTAGAGATTGGGCATGTC